AGCTCACAAAATTATCTTTTCAGCTAATCGTGCCAAACATACCCCCAGAAAAGTAACTCTAACCTTATTTTTTTCTTATTATTACACAACTCGCCAAAGAAAGAGTTACTTTTAGTACTCGCTTACATTTATTTCATTTTCATTTTCATTTTAGTAATAAACTAATTTTATCTACTTCACAAAGCAATTTAGATATTCCAGCTATTGTAATAATTTCAAACAAACCAATGTTTTAGCTGAACATCACCTGACCATAAAGTTAACTGATCAGGTATTATAGACAGAGATCGGTTAATTTATGCTCAGTCAAATATCGTAGTTAACTTGAAGGTCGATGTTTTCTTTCTAAATATGTAAATTTTATTTATTCAAAAACAATCTTATTAATGATAGAGATCAGTTAACTTATGATCTGTTAAACATCGTAAATCGTGTGTGAACCTTTAAATGAGACGGAGTGAGTATAAGGTATCAATCTATTAGTAATTAATTGCAATCAAATACTATGAAAATATTAAGAAATACTCCCTCCGTCCCGCTAAGATTGTCATGTTTTACCATTTTGGTCCTCCCACTGAGATTGTCTCATACCGAATTTGGTAAATTTTGTGTGGCTCTAAATCATTCTTACTTTATCAATTCAATATCAACCATATACACTACTTTTTATTAGTTTGCGTGTCATTCCCTCTTATCTCATTGTTAGTGGGATGTAGGGAGTAATATGTTTAAAAAACGAAAAACTGTTTTTAGTTGTCTATTCTCAGTTTTTTGAAATCGTTTTGTTTTAGTGCTAATTCATTTTCAATTTTGTCATTCCATGTGGTGGTCCGGTGGTGGTCCAGTGATGGTCTGGTGGTGGCCGGTGGTGGCCAGTGGTGGTCCGGTGGTGGCCGGTGGTGGTCGGTGGTGGTCCGGTGGTGGTCGGTGGTGGTCTGGTGGAGGTCAGTGGTGCTCCGGTGGTGGCCGGTGGTGGTCCTGTGGTGGTCTAGTGGTGGCCGGTGGTGGCCGGTGGTGGTCCGGTGGTGGCCGGTTGTGTCCCGGTAGTTGGGTATTGAAGATAAATGATAACAAATTTATAGAAACTATGTTTTGTTGATTTCAGAATTATGTTTTCATTTTCGAAAAACACTTTCAAAGATTATGATTTTGGAAAGAAAACCAATTTTTTACCAAACGTGTTTCTGTTTTTTTTTCTAAGGAAAAAAACAGAAACCGAAAAACAGAAACGTTACCGAACGCACCGGTGCATTGTACTACCGTGTCCGGAATTGATGACAATTTTTTTAAAGTTTATCTCATTATCAAATTATGCAAGCTTTTCAAATTAAAACACGATTTTATCATTTTATGATAAATAAAATAAAAAGACTCTACCATAATACTGATATGCTACGTACAAGATAAACCTACAAAATGTTTTTTTTCTATTTTACGAATAAAATACATAGACCGAGAAATCATATTATGGTGGACATCTTGCAACTATTCTACAAACATTATTAACATAAGCAACATCGACTTCAGGGAGCAAAAGCTCAAAATTAGAGGTTACGTTTTTTTATGATTCTAAGTCCATTTGGTAACACTGAAATCGGCTGATTCTCCTGAAATTTATGAAGGTGTGACTGAAGTGGTTGTATTAACTTATTCTACTGATTTTTGAAAAAAATATATTTAAAATATATTTTATTAATAAAATAAAGAAAAATATATATATGGAAAAATAGCTAAAATGATCACATACATTAAGTTTAGCCAATACAACCAGAAATGTAACTCTAACCTTACTTTTTCTTATAATTACACAACTCAGCGTGCGAAATCAAAAGTTACGTGTTTGGTTAAAATTTTGGCTGATAAGCCGAAAAACAGAGTCATCAAACGAGCTCTAATTCTTCTATCGTATCTATTAATTTACCAAAAAAATACTACGTATTATATTAGTAAAAAAATATAAAACTTGTTTTAGACTAGAAACTGAGTTGAACTAATAAATTTATTAGAGCTTCATCTCAAAATTATATGCTCAAAGTATTTATTAGGGCATCTCCGATGGGGAGGTGGATTGTCAAAAAAATGTCATCCACCTCACCCAATGGACCTTTTGTGAGCAAATGTAGTTTCCAATAAAAAAAGAAACAGATGAGATCCATCCTATGTGGCAATGCACAAGGTAAGAAGGTTTAGTACGTTTGAGACATTGGGTCTCACCTCCGTCTCTTTGGTAAGTTGATTTTTTTAATCATGATTCTTATTTTGCATATTATTTTCACTGGAGTACGAGTAGAGTATTAATGGACCCTCTCCCTTTGTTGTACACTTTAATACGAGTGTCTATATTGTACGACCGGTATACGGTGAGCACCGTATACCGATACGGATTTATATTTTTTTTTCCTTTTGTTTTTAAAAAATGGTAATAACTTTTTTATTTTTGATCCGATTTTTATAAAATTTATATCAACATTTTTTATTTTTCATGATCTTTCAAATGAGACCAATATTGCCTATGTAATTTTAACATATTAACATTTGCGTGTAAAATATGTAACTTTACGTGTTAAAATATGTAACTCACGTTCAGTCAGGCCAAATGCAACTCGTGTGTATAAATATGTATCTCTACGTGTAACAATATGTAACTTTACGTAAAAAATATGTAACTCGCGTTCAGACAGGTCAAATGCAACTTGTGTGTATAAATATGTAACTCGCGTGTATAAATATGTAACTTTACGTGTAAAAATATGTAAGTTTACGTGTAAATATATGTAAGTCGCGTTCAGGCATGTCAAATGCAACTCGTGTTTATATATATGTAACTCGCTTTTAAAAAGATGTAGCTTGCTTATAAAAAAATGTAACTTGCTTATAAAAAGATGTAACTTGCTTATAAAAAGATGTAACTCGCTCATAAGAAGATGTAACTCAATGTATTATCAAATGTAACTGAGGTCACTGATCCACTCCCAAACAGATTCGATCTTCTATTTCACAAACCTATCATCTCCCAAACAGATTCGATTTTCCTTATAATCCAATACTCATTAATATAAAAGTTCGATAATTTCTTAAAATTACATAAGCAAAATTGGTCTCATTTGAAAGATCATGAAAAATAAAAAATGTTGATATAAATTTTATAAAAATGGGATCAAAAATAAAAAAGTTATTATCATTTTTTAACAACAAATGCAAAAAAAGGGGGGGGGGGAGGCAAGCTGCGTCGTTTTGCACGGTATAATTTGCCCTTTAATACACCCTCTCTATTTGTTGTACACATAAGCATCAATTCATCCTATGCATTGGAGATGCTCTTAGAGCTTATCTATTTTTTTAATTTTTTTGATAATAAATTCTTCTAGATGAATTCTAGTACTTCGTAAATTAGTATTCCCTCCGTCCCATTTTAAATGTCTCATTTTACCATATTGGGATGTCCCTATTTAATTGTCCCATACTTTATTTGGTAAAGTTTGTGTGGCTCAAAATCATTCTTACTTTATTGTTACTTTATCTATTAATATCAACCACACAAACTTACTTTTTTTAAAACTCGTGTCACCTTCTTACGGGACATTTAAAAGGGGACGGAGGGAGTATCTATTAATGATTTTTATCAGTAGCTACTAATATTTTTTTAGTAGAAGAACGTATATGAGATATGAACATATAAACATATTGAATGCATGACAACTTATTAACATATAAACATTAAATTAAACAATTAAACAATATTAAGAAAAACATGCATTTTATTTTTGGCATTTTAAAATATTTATTATAAAATATTCGGAAATTAAAGAGTTAGAAACATAACCTCAATGAAGGAGAAGAAGGCAAGAAATGGGAGGTGAGAGGGTTAGGATTTGCTTGGGAGCGTAAGGAAAAATAGCGAAGTGTTATTTATATATTAGGGGTTGTCACGGACCCATCCATGACAACACCCGTGACAAAGTAAATACGAATTTTGAATTTTGAATTTGTCACGGATTAATCCGTGACAAAATCATCGGAAATTGAATATTGCGGGACGGCAGTCGAGGCGTCAGGGAACGGCAGACAAGGCAGCAGAAGCGGCAGGTTGACCGGTTTGTCACAGATCCATCCGTGACAAATCCGTGACAATATTCAAATTTTTGAATTTTGTCACGGATGGATCCGTGACAAATCGGTCCAGAGAATATTAAAGCTTTTCAACCTTTTTTCAGGCGAGGCGTCAGATACTTTAATTTGTCACGGACCTATTCGTGACAAATATAAGTATAAATATGTGCTTAGAACCCCATTTTTTCAGTGCGAAAAAATGGCTAATCCAAAACCAGATGTGTGGAAGTTGATCAGTAGAAGTGTACAACGATTAAAACAAGTTACACAGTTGATGAAGCCTCGAAATGCAGAAGCAGTTCAAAGCATCCGTGAGCTGATGAGTAGACCGCTTGAAAGCTTTGGCGATATTGTAGACTATGAATCAGACTCATACAACGTTTCACGAGGGAAAAACTTGTGTAGGGCACTTTTACATGCAGAACAATGTTCGGAGTATATGATACATATAAACGCGGAAGTTGCAGAAAGAATTAACGAGCTACTTGTGTTTATTTGTTTATCTATATTGTGACTTGTTGAATGTAATAAATGATAAAAAATGTGTGTTTTCTACTTAGTTTTTAAATTTAATAAATAAATTCATGTTCTTGTTTATTAAATTTCGAACTATTAAAATTTTGTAATGTTAAAAAACTAATAACAAATAATGTTAAAAAACTAATTTCCGTATTTTAAATAATGTTAAATTTCGAATTATTTAAAATTTAAATAATTTTCAATTTTCGAATTACCTAATTAAATTTAAATTTCCGAATTGATAATAATGAACCACTAATTTTCAATTGAATAATTTTAAAAACTTAATTTTATTAATTAATTAATCGCTATTTTGCAATATAATATGGAATAATTATTTTGTTTAGAAATTATAGTTGCGAATTACATACCTAACTATGAGAATCAGTATTTTCTTGATAGCCAACTTCTTCTTCTGTATCTCCATCATCATATATCCATTCTTCTTCCTCCTGGTTATCGTGCAGTTGTATATATAATTGTTCAATTTTGCGCTCATTTTGAGGTATATGGGGCGGAAGTTGTGTTTCAGGCATAAATTCAACATCTTCGCCATTTGGGTCACTTAACTGAATATTATGGTTGACCGTGTCAGCAATAGACGGAGGTTTGAAAAACTCTTGCTGAAAGCATCAAAGTCAATATCCTTGTGTTGAGCCTGTGTTACAATTTTGCTCGGACGGATATTAATGGCACACACCCAAGGATTCTGTGTGCGCCTCGTTGAAGGATACTCTGCATAATAAACCTGGGCTGCTTGTTGAGCGAGTATAAAAGGCTCATTTTTCTGATACACACGAGAGTGGTTGACGTCAATTATATTATATACTTTGAATTTTTTCTCACACCACGTGTAGGGTCGCCCCATGTGCAGCGAAACAACACGCATGTTAATTCTTGCAAACCAGAAGGCATTTGAAGTTCGAGAATCTCATGCAAGAAACCAAAAAAAATGGTTTCCGAGTTATCAGAACCGATGGTCGGGACACATAACCCGCTGTTCATTGTTGGTCGACCTTCTCCATATTCGACTGTGTGATACGTATAATCGTTTATCAAACTGGAATGCCAAACCTTTGCATAGAAAAAAGGGCCCCACGATAATGATACTAATAGAGGGTCGTTAATCCCACGGTACCTGATCTGCAAATAAAAATATGATACCATTAGGTAATGATTAAAAATTATTAGGTAATAGTATATATATAATGTATTTATATATATATATATATATACCGGTTGTTGGTACCATAATGCAAAGTCAGAGTCCACCATTGCATCATCAGGAAATGCTGATAAAGACGCTCTAAATTCACTGTGAATTGAAACATAAAGATATTATTATAACACTCTAATTATTAAAAAAAATATTAGCTATATTACAAATGAAACTACCAATTCAACTTACTTATAAAATGGTAAGATTTCTGGACAATTCATGAGAATGTAAGTATGTGCAATTTTCATTTCTCCGCCCACGATGTAACAGTAAGTCGCAGCTCCTTTACATCTACCTATGTAGTTGAAAATAGAAATTACTTTATCATATGAATCGTTGCCAATGTCATCGTTCCGAGCAGGTCTCTTTCTTTTACTGATGACTTCACGCTCTAAATAAAAAGAAGAAAACGTTGAGATTTCTTGTTGAATATATGCTTGACAAATTGAAGCCTCAATGTGTGCCTTGTTGGTCGCTTTCTTTTTCAAATCTCCCAGAAATCTGTCATGCAAAATAAAATTTCCAAACAAACAAATGTTCTTATTAAACAAATCATAGTTTATAAATGAAATTATGACTAACCTTTCAAATCTGTACATTCAACGATAGAAGACGGGCCCTCCATTCAAAGCCTCATACGGAAGATGTATTAGAAGATGTTCCATTACATCAAAAAATGATGGGGCAGTATCTTTTCCATATTACACATCAGAATAGGAACAGTGTCTTCTAGTCTCGTCAGGGATTCGGCATCCCAAACGGTGGAACATATTGACTTAAACAATTGACTGATTTCGGTAATACAGCTCCAGACGTCTGCAGGAAGCATCTCTTTCAGTGCAATCGGCAGAAGTCGTTGCATGAGCATCATGAGTTTTCACGCTCGACGTCATTGTTTGTTTGTCCAGGTCCACGTATCTTGACAGGTTAGAACAATGGCCATCTGGAAAGTTTAGAGAAACAAGCCACTCTAATATTGATTCCCTTTGTGGGGCTGTGAGTTGGTAGACTGCTCTTGAAATTTTTTTACCCACATATTCTTGATCGACGTCGAGTTCGGGTCTGTCGCACCAAATTGTCATGTCTTTTCTAGATGCAAGACCATCTTTGATTTTGTGGGTAAAATCCATAACCGTGTTAAATATATTGTCAAAGACGTTCTTCTCAACGTGCATGACATCTAAATTGTTACGAATGAGAAGGTCTTTCCAATATGGCAACTCCCAAAATATACTTCTCTTTGTCCACTGATACGTTCGTAATTTCCATTTCTATGTTTATGTTTTTAATTAGTTTTGCTTGACTTTTACTTTGGAAATTACACACTTTTGGTGTAATAGATTAGATTGTTAAATTCTTGTAAATAGGTTAGATTAGACATTTTCTGAGCTTAAGCAGGTTTTGGTCACCCAAAGTACAGTTGGTGAACCCAAAAAGTGAAGAGAAGGTACAAAAGTTCAAAGACAAAAGAAGATCCTGAATTTTGGTCTATACTCGGTCGAGTATTAGCTATACTCGATCGGGTATTAGGTTGGAACTTCAAATCGGATCAGATCCGAAGACAAAGGAACATGCAGAGAAGATTTTGGCCACGATTCTATGTCTATACCCGATCGGGTAGACCGACATACCCGATCGGGTATGTCTTTAAATTGCAAACGAAGATCGGTCGAGTATAGCCCGAATACCACTTTCTAAGCATACTCGACCGGGTATTCATATATACTCGATCGGGTATGCCTTTAAATTGCAAACGAAGATCGGTCGAGTATAGCCTGAATATCACTTTCTAAGCATACTCGACCGGGTATTCATATATACTCGATCGGGTATACACTTAGAAAATAGCCTGAAACCGGTCGAGTATGCCTCGAATCGGATGTTACACACATACTCGATCGGGTACCATGTATATACCCGATCGAGTACCCGAATCTCATCCCAAAAACCTATAAATACACCTCCTTTCCTTCACAAAAAGATATTCAATCCCTTTGTACATCTAAGCTCAGTATAGAATAGTTCTTTCTTTATATTTTTCATCATGTTTAGTCTCCAAATGAGGAGCTAAACTCTTCCATCTTGGTTTTGCTACTTTGAAGCTTAATGAATTTGTAAGTTGTGAGTTATTTTCTTTAATCTTCTTCCTTGAATATTAATTCTTTCTTTCAAAATACTATCTCTATATCAAAGTTGGGGAGTGTTACTAAGATGACAATTAGTTAACATCTTGACATTGATCATAGTAATAGCTATTTCTTCCTCTATGATTATATTGGGGAGTGTTGCTAAGATGACAATTAGTTAACATCTTGATATTAATCATAGTAGGATTCATATATTTTAATATTCTTCCTTGAGTATTGATTAATTCCTATTCATATTTCATGTTAATATCTTAAACATTACTTAAAGTATCAACTAGTATTGTTTCTCATATTAATTATTACTAGAATCAATCGGTTAATACGCTTGTTATTAATCCGGTTCTTTCAACGGTAGTAAACTTGGAATATTAATGCATGCATCTCATGGTAAACATTGTATGAATATTGGGAGCGCTTCAAAAAGTTGTGTGCTAGTTGCCCATATCATGGGTACACCGAGCAAGACCTCATCCTCTATTTTTATGATGGTCTTGCGGATCAAGATAGGCGCATGGTGAATGCGGCTTGTGGGGGGGGGGAATTGTTAACAAAACCCCTTCTCAAGCAAGGAATCTCATCTCAGAATTGGCCGAGAACTCCAGACATTACAATGGGCGATCCTCAACTCGAAGGGTTGCCGCAGCAGAATCCAACATCTCGTTGGAAGGCCAAGTTGCCAGTTTGACTTCTCTTGTCAAAGAACTTCTTCTGAAATCTAACACTCAGGAGATCAAAGCTTGTGGCATTTGCACAGCAACCGGGCACCCCACTGATTCATGCCCATCCCTCCAAGAAGAACAAGTCAACGCCTTGGGTTTCCAAGGCCACCAACAGAAGAGGTATGATCCATTCTCAAATTCTTACAACCCTGGATTGCGGGATCATCCTAACTTGAGGTATGGAAACCCTCAACAATCCAACTCATCTTCTCAATCTGGTATGTCAACTGATGACATGATCCGGACTTTGACCTCAAGCATGGTTACCATGCAACAAAACATGGGACAATTTCAACAAACCATGGTACAATTTCAACATGAGACAAAGTCAAGCATTAAAAATTTGGAAACCCAAGTTGGTCAAATTGCAAATGCCGTGAACCAATTTCAAACAAAGGACTCGAGTAAACTCCCATCCCAAACGGAGCAAAACCCGAGACAACATGTGAATGCTATAACGTTGAGAAGTGGTGCCACGTTGAAAGAGGCAGAAGAGAATGATGAAGAGACTGAGGGTGTGGACCCTGGAAAAGTAGTCCCACCGGAGGAGGAAAACAAAGAAACCAAGCTTCCCCCACCTTCATCATATGAACAAGAAATCCCGTTTCCTGAGGCGCTGAAGGAGACAAAGAAGCTAGGAAAAGATGCCGACATCTATGAAACCTTTGCAAAGTGTGAGGTAAACATTCCGCTTCTTAACTTCATGAAAAATGTCCCTCGTTTTGCTAATTTTTTAAAAGAATTATGCAAAACAAAAAGAAAAGATAAATTGAAAGGGAAACAGGAGGTTAGAGTTAGTGAACACGTCTCGGCCATTTTTCAGAGGAAACTCCCCGAAAAATGTAACGACCCAGGCATGTTCACTATCCGTTGCAAAATAGGAAACACCACATTTCCTAAGGCCTTGTTGGATTTAGGGGCATCTATAAATGTCATCCCCTATTCTGTTTACAAAACTCTACAACTTGGCCCACTACATCAGACAGGTGTAGTGATTCAATTGGCAGATCATTCTAGTACTTACCCAAGGGGTGTAGTAGAAGATGTGCTAATAGAAGTAGAAAATATGGTCTTTCCTGTTGACTTCTATGTCCTTGAAATGGGAACTGATGACCAAACAACACCCATCCTTTTGGGTAGACCCTTCATGAAGACCGCAAAAACAAAAATTGACGTTTCTAGTGGTTCACTAACTTTAGAGTTCGATGATCAAAAAGTGGAGTTCAACATCTTGGACTCTACGAAAAAACAAATGCAAAATCCAACTCTGTGTTCTTTACATGTTGTTGAACCACAAGAACCGCTGTTTTTCAAAGAAGCGGATAAAATCAGATGTCTTTTGAGAAAGAAACCCCGGCCTTACTGGAAAAGGCCGAAAAATAAAAATGAAAAATGGCCAAATAGGGCCTTAAAAAGTGAAACAAGGGATACTCATGATCCCACATAAAACAAAAAAAAAATGAATAACGTCGTGCCACGACGTTAACTAAGGCGCTTCTTGGGAGGCAACCCAAGCAAGGTACATTTTTCTTTTATTGTTAACCCCCCCCTGTCAATGTTTTCAATTATGTCTTTGAGAGGTAGAGAGGGAGGGCACTAATCATGGGTTTTTGGAAAAAAAAGAAATAAAAAAAATTTTGCAGGTTTTTGAACATCTGGGGACATACCCGATCGAGTATAACCTTATACTCGGTCGGGTATGAGCAAAAAGAAAAGGGACCGGGCACTACTCGATCGAGGGAGCATTCAAAATTTGAAAAATAAGCAATACCCGATCGGGTATCACTATACACCCGGTCGGGTATCGCTAGAAATGCTAAAATTGAAGGGGACTGATTCCCACACTCGACCGAGTACACGCTTCAAAAATGGAAAAAAAAGCACATACCCGATCGAGTATGGAGGAATACTCGACCGGGTACAGGAGACAGGCTGCTCAAAAAGTTCATTTTCTAAGCATACTCGACCGGGTAACCCCACCATACCCGATCGAGTACAGGAGGCAGGCCGCTCAAAAACTTCACTTTCCAGCCATACCCGACCGAGTACCAGCACATACTCGATCGGGTATACGGGTCTTATAACCCCAAATCAGCCCCAAAACACTTCATCTTCCCCAAATTCCCAACACCATCTCGAACAAAAAACGCCCAAACCCCATTTTTACACCTTCTCTCTACCATATCTCTTCCAAATCTTCACCAAATCCACCCATTCCAACGCCAAAACACTCCCCTCATCCTCCTCTACACATTCATACCCAACAATCCCATTCTCCCCCAACTTTCAGAGGTCCGAAAAACCCTACCCCCACCATTCCAATTTCGGTTTTCAAAGGCCAAAATCACTTCAAATGGCTCCAAGGAAAGAGAAAGGGCAGAGCTCAAGCACTAGGACAATCATCCCGGGCTACGAGGACATCCTTTTCGTGGACAACGAACAACGCACACGCTTCTTATCCACAATTGAAAGGCAAGTCAAACCTTCCCGCTTTTTATGCCTTGATGCTCTAAAGGAATTAGGAGTATACACAATAATGAAGAAATTTTTTCATGAGTTGCATATGGATAAAATTTTCAAAATGAAATACAACTCCAATGAAAAAATTATCTATGAATTCCTAAGCTCGGTGCACTT